GCTGAGATTGGCTATTATACTCAGGCAGCTCGAGACATGTGGGCTCACCTGCTGGAGCTGCAGCCTCAGACGGGTAAAGTCCACTGCAGAGGATGGTGTTAATTTGACTGGGGACAAAGGGCACTGAAGCAACGTGCTGCTTTGGGTTCTGAGAGTTTCCACGTGGCTGCTGCCTTTCTGGAGGCGCAGGACACCCCGGTCCCACACTTGGATGCCTGGCTCTCTCTAAAAAGTGTCCTGGTTTCAGGGGAATCCAGCAGTGGCATCAGCCGAGACGATTACATTGGCCATGTGGCCAAGGACATCGAAAACAAGATGCCCAAAGTCTTTGACTTGGACCAGGTCAGGAAGCACCTCGGGATAAGCATCTCCCCGACTTCGGTGGTGCTCCTGCAGGAGCTGGAGCGCTTCAACAAGCTTGTCATGCGGATGTCCAGGTCTCTGGCTGAACTCCAGCGGGTAAGCCTGTTCCCAAAGTGTGCATTCCTGCCTCCCGGTGTAACCCCTGGTCTTCTCATTGTCTTGCCCAACTGCTCTTGATTCTGTAAACAGGCCTTGGCTGGAGAAGTCGGGATGAGCAACGAATTAGACGATGTAGCCAGGTCTCTCTTTCTCGGGCAAATCCCAAACATCTGGAGAAAGCTTGCCCCTGACACCCTAAAGTCCCTGGGGAACTGGATGCTCTACTTCCTGCGGAGGTTCAGCCAGTACACAACGTGGGTAAGTGAGAGGCGGCAGGCTGCTCGCCGGCTCAGGGCTCGGCCTGGGCCCCCTCACCCCACCTCCCGACTCCTCCCGTCCCCAGTGGTACCTCTGTCAGGTGCTCTGGAGATGGGCTGTGACTCTACAAGCAGACTTGTATTTGTTTTTTTCCTTTTCTTTTCTTTTTAAGACTTTGAAGTGTACTGTGCACAGCATGATTTATTCATCTAAGAGTCTCTCTTGGCAGTGGTTTCATTGAAGTACACCTAGAACTCATCCTTTCTAGGCTGGTCCATCTCACAGACTTCCCATATCCTTTCTCCTGATGGACATTCAGGCGGTTACCACTGGAGGTTTTTTGTTTGCTTTTTGTTTTTTGTTTTGCTTGTACAAACAACATTCTGGGGCACGTGCCTTTGGAGACTCATAAGAGTCTACTCCATCAGTAAGTGCCTGCAATGGAAAAGCTGAATCAGAGCGTGTTAAATTCTGACAGCTCTTGTCGGATGATTTTTTTAGAGAAGTTGAGACCACGGTATATGAGCATGATTATTCCCTCACCTCTCTGCAACATGGTGTGTTCTTAATAGTTTGAACCTTTGTCTCCTTGGTAGGTAAAAAAATAACACCAAATATTTCTGATGTACATTTCTTTAATTATGGTGAGGCTGAGTGCATCTTACAAATTTATAGGTGTTTCGTGGTTTTCTGTGAATTGTCTTTTTGCATCTTGATTTCATTTTTATCAAGTTCTCCATCTTTTAAAATGGATTTTTAAGAACTCCTTGTACATCAAGGAGATTAACCCCTTTGTCTGCTGGTGTTGCAGACATTTCCCCAGCTTGTCAAGAGTTTTTTTGATTTTTGTGGTATTTTTTCCAAAGGAAAGTTTAATATTTTAATGTAGTCAAATAGATCAGACTTTTCTTTTACAGCTTCTGAAAACATGCTTTGGAGGCTTGGTTTGGTCCTTTTGTGGTTTTATTTTATATAAAAAATCTCGGCTCCATCTTGAACTTGGCTGTTCGGCTTATTTTTCCCAGTGGGCTGCCAGTTGTCCCAACACCCTCTTTCCGCCACTAAGGCGAACTGTATCGTTCGCCCTGAGTTCAACTTCCGGTCAGCTTTGACCCTGGCATTGGATGGTGGCCCCAGGCTCCTACCAGCTGCCCTCCCCTCTCTCCAGGTCACTGAGAGCGAGCCCAGCGTGATGTGGCTCTCGGGGCTGCACATCCCGGAATCCTACCTCACGGCCCTGGTGCAGGCCACCTGCCGGAAGAACAGCTGGCCGCTGGACCGCTCCACCTTGTTCACCCAGGTGACCAAGTTCCAAGATGCAGACGAAGTGAATGAGCGGGCAGGACAAGGTACGTCCAGCTTCCTGTGGATTCACAGCCTCTCATGTGGGGTCTCCCTCCTGAGCCATCCCCCATCTGAAGGGGTGAGCACGGTGTGGGCCCAAACGGGCCAGGCCATGGTTGAAAGGCAGACTGCTGCAAATATTGGCTGTGTTTGTGCGCCTTCCACGTCTTGGAGTCTCTGAGGGTGAGGACAGATGTTTCTCGTCCAGTTTCTCCACTGAGATGCAGGTTGATGTCATAGGAGGGCTGAACCATGTTCACCCTGCTCGTCTGTGAGAAATGGGCTCCTCGGTTAGAATTAGATCTTTTAAACACCCGGATCACCAGGTGGCTTCCCGGGAAACCGTGAGGGCCTAGCGGCATGGGAGCCAGAGAGCAGGAGGGACTAGGGAGGAACCATTCAATTGTACACTAACTTCAAGTCCCTTAGAGATTCGTTACTATGTGTGCAGACTGTGGTTGGAAACCGCTGTTTCCCCGGGGTTATGTTGTCTCAGCCAGAGGACATTTAACTGCAAGCTCCAGAAGCCCTCTCGAGCTAGCTTAGGGAGTGGGGACTTCTGGTGACCATTCAGGAACACTCAGCCCCAGGGGAATGGCGGTGCTCCCCTCTGCTCCCGGGCAGGTCTGTGCTGTCCTCCTCCCCCACCACCCAACCCCCGGACTTTCTCTGCGAGGCTTCCGACTCCCTGCTCCCCGGTTACTTTGGCTCTAGGGGACTTGGGGTTGCCATGGTGCCAGCTGACTCTGATGTTTTCATCTTTGTAGCCTGGGGGCCCAAGGCCATTAAGTCTGTGGGCCTTGATGCCAAATTGTAGGGCAGAGGTGACTACCCCTCATTCACATTGCTGTGGCCATAGGGAGGGCCATGGATTCTGCAGGATGTCCCATATGGGCTGTTCCTCTACAGAGGGAAGGTGGACAGGACAGATTTGATGGCCACCTCTTTGGGGAAAAGGCATGGGCTGTGTCTGGGGAAGGCGAATCAGCTGCCTCTTTATTTGCCCGATATGCACAGAAGAGAGAGCCGCGTTACAGCAGGATTACCGATGCTTCCGCGTAAATTCCGCTCTCTTCCTGGTGCCTCTAGGATGCTTTGTCTCAGGACTGTATCTAGAAGGCGCTGACTGGGATATAGAAAGAGGATGTCTTATCAAGAGCAAACCCAAGGTGCTGGTTGTTGACCTGCCGATCCTGAAGATCATCCCCATCGAAGCCCATCGCCTCAAACTGCAGGTGAAATTTCCCATCTTCCCCTCTCACTGGAGATATACACCAGGGGGTTTCAAATAGCCTTGACCTTTCAGCACAGGTGCCCTTAACCTTTCCGGGGTGGGGGAAGTCTTGGAGCCACTTCCCGGGGAAATGCACGCGCGCGCATGCGTGGATGCACAGCCTTCAGCGTCCGCGCGGGTTCCCCGTTGGCGGCTGTGGTCCAGACCAGCTTCAGGAGTGGCTCCTCCCTTCCTGGGGGGAAGGTCTGCGGGCATTGCTTGAATAAGACTGGAGTTACATCCGGTGTGGACGGCAGGCGCCTCCTGCTCCGGCTGACCCACTTCTCGTGAGCGTCTGCGGAAGGCGGAGGGGGTGCCCTCGCGGCGCAGCGGCCGCGCCTCGCAGGGGCCCCTCCGCACCCTTAGCGCTTAGATGGAGCCTGCGCCCGCCCGGGCCGCGCGCTCCCCTCTGCCCGCGCGGGCACTCACACCCCTTTCCTGTGCAGAACACCTTCCGGACGCCTGTCTACACCACCTCCACCAGAAGGAACGCCATGGGGGTCGGCTTGGTTTTTGAAGCCGATCTCTTTACCACGAAGCACATTTCTCACTGGGTCCTGCAAGGGGTGTGCCTCACCCTGAACTCTGATTAACCCTCTGGGTGAAGGAAAAGGCCCGACGGATTCTAAGTGTGCGGTGGGCGATGGATGTGCTGGGAATTCGTGAAGACTAACCATCTGCCGTCACTTCCTGGGGCCTCTCGAGGCAGGAGGGGGATTCACATTCTTTTTTCCCTTCATCTGAAATCAGCCATTTTAATCTCTTTCCATATTAAGTTAACCTGAATGGTTTTGTCCTTTTAAACTATTTTTTTAAAAGGATTCTGTGCATTAAAAAAGTAAGTTAAAACAGTATTTTAAGATGTGTCGAATTTTCTTTTCCTTCTCAGAGGAAACACTTAAGCAAAATTGCCTGGAATGTCACGGGCACACGTGAGAATTATAACTTAAATTGGCACAGGTGGTTTATTGATGATAACGGGTTTGCTTCAGGAGATGCCTCTTTCGGGTAGGGCTGCGGGCCGAGGTGTGGGGTGGAAGGCCGACGCTGCTGAGGGCGTCAGGCAGGGCCCCCCTTCCCTGGGCTGCTGATGTGGGGTGCTAGGGGAGGTGGCCAGAGTCTCCCACAGCCTCCCCCTTCCAGAACCCCCTGGCGCTGGCCTGCCAGGTGTGGCTGAAGACCTGGAGCCTGGTGTCTAATTGCGGCATGAACTCCTACCCCCGACCTGCCTGGGTCTGTGTGAGGTTGGGTGCAGCCTCAGAACCTCCAGGGCCAGCGGCTACTGGGCGTCCCTTCTGTGCATGTGGGTCTAGTCTGAAGCCCTGGCCAGGCCAGGCTGGAGGTAAGGAGCAGCTTTACCCTGGGAGGGAGGGACAGGGCTGAGCTGAGGAGGACACAGGGCAGGGGCCAGTCACTGGAAAAGTGGCTTTTGTCAGAACCTCAGAAAGGCAGAACACTGTAAGGGATAACTGAGCAGTGAGATGATGGGGTGCCTCCTTCTGGAAGCGAACCCCACCCCAGGAGGTACCCCTGGGTGAGTCCACTGTCTGGCCAGCAGTGGCGGGGGCGGGGGGACGGCAAGCGACTATTTCTCTCCTTCCCACTGACTCCCCCCAGGACCCGCCCTCGGGTGTTTTAATAAAAGACACGAAGCAGAAAGAAGGCAGGTTTAGAAAATAAAGTTTGTTGGGATCTTGAACATTTTGGATAAAACTAACAAAAAATATGAACACATTCAGGTCGTGGTGACATGAGGAGTAACGTCATCTCATTTAGTTCCTGTGATACAACATACAGCTGCTCGGTTACCGGTGCCGCCCCAGGAAGGGTGTGTCGGGTGGTTACGGGGTCTCCAGGAGGGCGCAGGGCTGCTCCGGACCGGCCGCCCTGGAAACCGGAGGCATGAGGTCAAGGTCGATACGTGTTGCTCTGACTTTATAATTAGGCGTGTGACTATCTGATTTCGTGAACGTCGAGCAGTAACGCAGCCGGGGCCTGTGCTTCGTCCGCGGGCGGGCGCGCGCACTGAGATTACACGGCGTGGGGCTGCAAGCAAGCCAGGCGGCCCACAGGTGTTTGGCCACAGCGATGAGTAAATACGGGTTCTGCGGCGGGACACGGTGCTACTTTGGTGTCAGTTAAGGGGGCAAGAGGAGCAGGAGGAGAAGAATCTGTTGACAAGTCTGGAAAAAAAAATCGGCATGCATGGGAATTAAAACAAAAAAGAGAAAGAAAAGGGGTGGATGAGTTTTTCCTAGTAGTGATCACAGTGCCTCGACAGCGGGTGAGGGTGGCGGGGCCGTCACACAGTTCTGTCCGTCCCTGAGTGCTTCCTCACCACCTTGCCTCCGTTCACCTGGTCCACCGCCAGCGTCTCCACCTCGGGCTGGGCCTGCGGCGGGGCCGCGTGGTGGATGCGGTGCGCCACCCCCACGTGCGCCTTGTGCGGCTTCTCGCGGGCGGGGCTGGGATGCTCGCCGGCGCTGCGGTCCGAGGCGATGGGGGGGATGACCAGGGGCCGCTCCTTGATGAGGTGGACCTCGGCCGACTCCCTGGCCAGCAGGAACGGGGTGGGTCGGGCATGGCGTCCACCGGTTCCCGCAAGAGGAGTTTCCGGCTCTCGGCCCCGAATCTGTAGACCTC